ATTTATTCAAAGTCAAAGGCAATAAGAAACTTATAGCAATAGTATACAAAAATAACACAGAACAAACAAATCTATACCAACACCCATGATGTAAGAGAGAGAAGATACCAGAGACACCAACAAACTTAATTCTAGCTTGATTTCAGATTAACCCTAACAATCACCAAAACCAACTTGGCCCCCAATTCCATATAGTACAGTACAGGAAAATGTTGCATTGACATAGAATCAATTTAAAAGACACACACACACACACACACACACACAAACACACACAAACACTTTAACCGAGCACATTTCACTCTTGCCTTAATTGTTTGCCACCTAGATTCTGTAGAAATTAAAGCTGTTGGTATTACTGGTGGTAGGGTGTATAGTTTCAAAATCATTTTTATTCTGCACAGTTTCAAAAACTTTAAGGAAGTTTGACTCAGACCCCCAGATTTCAGTGCCATAGAGCATTTCAGTAAGCACTTTCCTACAAAGTATCTTTAGGACAGCTTCATTCAGCTGCCCTCCCTTATTGTAATAGAATTTCATTAATGCTCCTTTGGTTTTTGGTGCTTTGACTTCAATATCATTCTTCCCAGAGAGGGTTTCACTAACCAATACACCTAAGTATATAAATGAGCAGGTTTCTTCTGTAGTTTCTTGCTTTAAACACCTTTTTTTTTTTTACTTTTGCCTGTGTTCTCCTTTCACACCATGAAGCAAGGTAGTTTAGAGTATTAAATCATTGGCTTGCATGAAGATTGAGATATTTCTGTTCCTTTTCCTATTTCTTTTTTCCAACCGGTGCATAGAGGGGTACTCTAAGAAGCCATTCTATGGAAGGGAAGGTTGCATTGGCTAAATATGAACATTACAGCTAACACACATCTACCCTTTTGCATGACACCTGCTTAAGAAGAAGGACACCTTTCCCCACATTATAGTTCTTTACCATCTCAAGAAATCTCTTCCACCAACCTCTTTCTCCTTTCTACAGCAGCATATATTAGATGTGACTACTGTTATGAAAAGAGTACCTCATGTGAAAAGAGCAGCCGTCAATCCTGCAATAATACTCAAATCTGTTCCTCTAGTGCTGTGAGTAGCAACATAGGTGAGCTGAATCTTCTCACTTACTCTTGGTCACCCCAGACTTTCTTGTGTAAATTAGCATTATTTAGTATTTATTTATTGCCTTTATAGCCCACAATTTCTCCAAGGAAATGGTTCTTCTTTTATGCATTTAACCATGTCAGGTTTATTATGCTGAGAGGCAGGGACTTCCCAAGGTCCCCCAGTGAGCTTCATGGCTGAGTGGGGATTTAAACCCTGGCATCTCAGATTCCAGTCCAACACTCAGCACCCATACTCAGCCACATAATCTTACTCTAGCATTTCTTTTCTCTTTCCATCACATGCAGACTTCGTCAGAGAGATCCTGGCATGCATCAGCCTGCGGTTGACTAACCTTTGGCCCTTTAGACATTTCTGGACTACCGCTCCCATCCCCCTCAGCCAGTATGGTCAATGGCTAGAGATGATGCAAGCTGTAGTCCAGTAAATTCTGTAGGGCCACAATATTAAAAAAAAAAAAATTCATACAGACAACCCCCCAGGGAAGGGAGAATGAAGCGTTATTTGTTCAGTCATGGGTATGTTGATCATTGATTTATATAACTACTGAAAACAACTTTGCCACTGCCACTGTTATTTCATTGGACTTGTCATCCAGAAGCTATTTGATATAGTAGGCTTCAGGATGACCTGGCTGATTTACCAAAAGTGAAAATCAATAGTTCCCTAGCTTGATCATATTGTCCACAATGTAATAAAATATCCTATTTTTGGTAAGGGGTACCGCTCAGTCTGCCATTTAACACTTCTGATGGGAATACATTTAATCTGGCTTTGATGAAAAGACACCGATATGTTGGTACAGACAAATTTCTGAGATATGCAGGTACCGTATTTTTCGCCCTATAAGACGCACAGGCCCATAGGATGCACCTAGATTTTTCTTGGGGGGGGGGGATAAAGGGAAAAAAATTATTCTTCCCCCCCCAGGCACGGGGCTGGGGCGAGGGAAGCCCGAGCTTCTCCCGACCCCAGCCCCCAGAACGGGAGCCAGAGCGATGCAGAAGCTGCGTGCAGCTTCGGCATCATCTGGGAGCTTGCGGGGCTGGGGGCGGGGCAAGCCCGAGCTTCCCCCGATGCCAGCCCCCAGAACAGGCTGCCGCCCGCAAGCCTTGCAAGCCTGACGGGACCTCCTGCCGGGTGCTCAAGGCTTGCAGACATCTGCCCGAAGCACGGGGCGTGCTCCGCAGCGCAACCCATGCTTCGGGCTGCAGGCTGCTGCCCGCAAGCCTTGGGAGCCTGGCGTGCACTCCCGCCAGGTTCCCAAGGCTTGCAGACATCTGCCCGAAGCACGGGGCGTGCTCCGCAGCGC